GATTATGGTTCTTGATGCGTCATCCTTTGATAGGGCATGGTCAGAAGCTCCATTGCTACCAGGGCCAAATATCCATCCATGAGCTGATTTCAGATTGTGTGTGGGTCTTTGCTGTGGATGGCATGGCCTTGCTTCAGAACCCTAGCGTCTGCATTGTGATTTTCCTACTGCGGCTCACCATAAGCATCCCATAGCTTCTTTTTACACTGGAGATACCTTTAGAACTTTTAGAACCCTGGAGCCTATGGGGTTGTGTAGCACAAGTGGCTGGACTGATAATCCTCTGAAATGCATATGTATACCAAGGCCTCCAATATGAACTTGCCCCTTGCACTCACCAGATGACAGCAATGATACATCATTGATATAGTAGACCAAAATAATACTAGATAGAATTTCCAAATAATCTGGTTTCCTTTGAATGTCTTATGACAGAGGATGAGAGAGTTAACAAGTCCTGAGTCAAACTGTAAGGTATACTGTTGTCCCTCACATATGAAAGTGAGCTGTTTCTGATTCTCTTGCCTAATAGAGATGGAAAGAATGCATTCACCGGATCTGTGGCCCCATCTCTATACCTGTAGTTCTGTTGATCTACTTTAGCAGATTTATGACATCTGGCACAGCAGATGCAATTGGGGTTTCCACTTGTTTGAGTTTGTGGTAGTCAGCTGTAATCTACCAAGTTCTATTTTGTCTAGGGGTGTATATATGTGAGAGAGATTTTAAGGAACTATTTCATGTAATTGTGTGAGCTGACAAGTTAGAAATATGTAGAACAGGCCACCAGGCTGGAGCCCCAGGGGAAGAGTCTTGATGTTGCAGTCTTGATCCAAAAGCAGTCTAGAGACATGATTTCTTCTTCTTCAGGGAACCCTAGTTTCTTCTTTTAAGACCTTCAGCTGATTGAATGAGGCCCACCCATATTATGGAGAGTAATCAGCTTTACTCAAAGTCTGTTGATTTCAATGTTAGTTACATCTGAAGAATATCAACATCTAGACTGGTGTTTGAACCAAGCAGCTAAGCACATTTGCCTAGCTAAGTTGGTATATAAAATTAACCCCACCATACCACTATATCCATTAGGTGTACAGATGGTGCGCCTCTGTTATTTCTCTTGGAATGTGGTTTTATTTTTTCTTTACTCTTTTGGCCAAGAGGAGAGACTGACAACTTCAGAGGCTTCCACTTGATCTTCTACACAGTGATAACTCCAAAATACCATCTTAGAGCTTTTCTGTCCTCTCAATAAATCTTGCTTTAAAAAAAAAAAAATGAGGGCTGGGCTTGGTGGCTCAGCCTGTAATCCCGCGCCTTGGGAGGCCGAAGTGAGTGAATTGCCTGAGTCCACGTGTTCGAGACCCGCCTGGGCAACTTGGCAAGACCTCATCTCTACAATAAATCAAAAAATCAGCCAGGCGTGGTAGCACGCGCCTGTAGTTCCAGCTACTTGGAAGGCTGAGGCAGAAGGATCGCCGGAGCCCAGCAGGTCAAGGTTGCGGTGGCCAGTAGCGGCCACTGCACTCCAGTCTGGGTGACAGAGTGAGACTCCAACTCAAAAAAAAAAAAATCAGGATTGGGCAGATTTGAAACCAAGGTCTCATCTGCTCTTGCAGTGGCGCTGTGAGCTAGATAGGCCTTCAGGTTGTCCCAACTCAGGACAAAGAGGCCACGCCTCTGTATTCCTGCCTTTTCCAGTTACTGGATACAGGCAGCTCCCTTTGACTGAGGAAAATCCTGGGAGGGACACTGGGAGACTCAGCCATTTTTTCCAGTAGCTGGTAAGTACCTGGGTCATGGCTAGGTGTGGTGGCTCACGCCTATAATCCCAGCACCTTGGGAGGTCAAGGCAGGCATTGCTTGAGCCCAGGAGTTCGAGAACAGCCTGGATGACATAGCAAAACCTCGTCTCTACTAAAAAATAAAAAACTTAGTTGGGCTTGGTGGCGTGTGCCTGTAGTCCCAGCTACTTGGAATGCTGAGGTGGAAGGATTGCCTGAGCCCAGGAGGTCAAGCTGCCAGGAGCCATGATCATTGTGTCATGCCACTGCACTCCACCTGGGTGACAAAGTAAGATCCTGAGTCAAAAAAAAAAAACAAAGAAAGAAAGCACCTTGGTCGTGAAGCCTGGCTCTGGGTGGTGTGCCAAGGCATCCACTATTATACGGCCATATCTGCTTTTTAAAAAATATTGGCTTATGCTGGGCGCAGTGGCTCACGCTTGTAGTCCCAGTACTTGGGAGGCAGAGGCAAGAGGATTGACTGAGCCCACACGTTCAAGACCAACCTGGGCAACATAGCGAGACCTTGTCTCTACAATAAATTTTAAAAATTAGCTTTACATGGTGGTGGGCATGGTGTCACATGCCTGTGGTTCCAGCTACTTAGAAGGCTGAGACGGAAGGATCGCCTGAGCCCTGCCTGGGCAACAGAATGAGACTCTGACTCAACAAAAAATGAAATAGAATAAAAAATATTAGCTTATGATGCATAATTCATAATTACAATTAAGTTCAGTGGCTATTAGCATACTCACAAGGTTGTGCGATGTCACCACAGTATCCTTGTAGAACGTTTCATCGCTTCCGAAAAGGCACCCTGTCCATTAGCAGTTCCCAGTTCTTCCTTCCCCACAGGCAACCACTAATCTCCTCCTCCTGTCTGTTTGGGTTTGCCTATTCTAGACACTTCATTTAAATGGAATCGTACAATAGTGTTTTTTCTATACTTGCTTTTCTGGAAAATTGACACGTGATAATTATATCCGTATCTGCTTTTAGAATACATTTTGACTTGCACAATTTAGCTAGATGCTTTCACTTCCATGCTTTAATGAGAACTAAAGAGTATGGAAAACTAGGCAGAATTTGTCCATTTATTTGATCATGTCAACTAATATTTTGTCTTTACACACATGATTTTTTTTTGAGTTGGAGTCTCACTCTGTCGCCCAGACTGGAGTGCAGTGGCCGCTCCTGGCTACCGCAGCCTCGACCTGGTGGGCTCCCGCGGTCCTTCCGCCTCAGCCTTCCAAGTAGCTGGAACTACAGGCGCGCGCTACCATGCCCGGCTAATTTTTGATTTATTGTAGAGATGAGGTCTCGCCAAGTTGCCCAGGCGGGTCTCGGACTCGCGGGCTCAGGCAATCCACTCACCTCAGCCTCCCAAAGGTGCAGGATTACAGGCTGAGCCACCAAGCCCAGCTTTGAATAGATTTTATAGACAAAACTAGAAAATCCAGGCATTGCTATATAGTTGATAAATATTTCTTGAATGAAAAAAAGTTGTAGAATGAGTAAATTCTAATTATTAAGAAAGTTGGCCATATCTGGAAACTTTGAATCTAAAATTTAATGCATTTATTTGTCTAATTTTCTTTTCACTGTTTTCTTAGTTGAAGTTAAACCCTAAACATTTGTTAAAAGAATACAAGAGAGATTTTTACTTGGAAAATAATGTGATGAGCTGTTGAGGGCAGTGATACTGCTTCTAAACTTGACAGGCAGTCAATGTTTATGTGATTTTTTAAAAATTTAATTTCATTAGGCATAGTATATTAGACTATGAGTTAGGAAAGCTGGGTCTGGTCTCAGCTCTGTGGCTAACTTTTTTTTTTTTTTTTTTTGAGTCAGAGTCTTATTCTGTCCCCCAGGCTGGAATGCAGTGACAAGATCATGGCTTACCACAGCCTCAACCTCCTGGGCTCAGGTGATCCTTCCATCTCAGCCTCCCAAGTAGCTAGGACTACAGGCACATGCCACACACACAGCTAATTTTTTTATTTTTATTTTTGTGGATACCAGGTCTCACTATGTTGCCTAAGTTGCCTAGGCTCAAGCAGTCCTCCCACTTCAGCCTCCCAAAATGCTAGGGTTACAAGCGTGAGTGAGCCACTGTGCCCGACCTGCGGCTAAAATTTGATTCAGTGGTTTCCAAGTAAAATGTGATGCAATAGTTTTATGTATGTTTTATTTCAGTACTTTTCTCTTATCAATTTAATGTATTGTAGAGTACATTGGGAACAGAAGCCACTGGCAGGCTTACTCCTATTTAACAAATAATGACAACTAATTTGTTTTGATTCAGTTATTCATTTCTTTATTCAAATGCTTTTTAAGTATCTACTATATGCCAGGGGATTAAAAGTGAATAAGATTTGTCTTTGTCATCAGTATATTCCTGCAGTTTGTGAAATAATAGCATGGTGTGCAAAAGGCCCTAAGAGCAGGAGACATAAATTCAGAGCCCATTTTTTCTAATTATTGACTGGATGATCCTGGACATGTTACTCAGTCTCCCTACCTTTAAAATGGGAGGGACACTATGAGTACCTGACTTTGAAAGGGCCTTGATGGACATTTAGCTTCAACCCCATTTCCTTTGACTACTGGATTTAAGACAAATAGAAATTTTAAAAATTGACATTGAAAGAGGCTTTTATTCCTTTCCCATATAGAAATGGGATATTATAGGAAAAGAATTATCCTTTTTGAAAAATTTTTTTTTAAGGGACTTAGACTCTAGAACACTTGTGCTTTTTTTTTTTTCAAGTTGGGGTCTCATTCTGTCACTCAGACTGGAGTGCAGTGGTGCAATCTTGGCTCACTGCAGCCTCTACCTCCTGGGCTAGGGCAATCCTTCTTCCTCGGCCTCCTGAGTAACTGGAACTACAGGCATACGCCACCAGACCTGGCTAATTTTTTAAAGATTTTGTAGAGACAAGATCTCTCTCTGTGTTGCCTAGGCTGGCCTTGAACTCTTGGACTCAAGCAATCCTCCCACCTCTGCCTCCCAAAGTTCTGGGCTTACAGGTATGAGCCACCATGCCTGGCCCACTTGCTCATTCAGTTTCAGAAGGGAGAGTCTCAGCATACTGCCTAGCCTGGGGTGTGGGGACATATATCTTTGTGTGATTTTTAGATAGAAGCTCTGTGTTTTTTAATGTATATAGAATTCAGAGCACTTGCATAGCTGTCTTTTCTTTTCCTTCCCCTCAGATAGATAAAAGCCCAGAAGGACAATTTACTCAGCTAATGACATTGCCTAAAACCTTACAGCAACAGATAAATCATATTATGGACCCTCCTGGAAAAAACAGAGATGTGGAAGAAACTTTATTCCAAGTTGCTCATGATCCCGACTGTGGAGATGTGGTACGACTAGGTATGTTTGTGGATTTGGTGTTGAGGAAGCGCCGGCTTTGGGGAAAGCAGACTTCATTTGTGGTCAAGACACATTATTTCTTTCTTCTTGCCTAGCGAGACTGTGAGAAAGATTGCCTTTAGGAAGAAAAAGCGCTGGGGTTTTCCAAATCTATTTTTACTTCTTTGAAGTAAGATGGTAGAAATACTTCTGTTTTCAGATATCTGGATCCTAAATCACTGTCAAAGGGAGAAACAATCTTTCTTTTGGTTCCAAGAGCGTAACTACTAGAAGTTATTCAAGATATGTCTGTGTTCTTCTTGATGGTCTAAGAAAGAAGACTGGTGCATTTTTAATGGTTTTATGGCATCAAGAACACAGCCTTCATCAGCCAACTCCATTGGCTGTCTCATGCACATATCAGCAAGTTCCCTCTGCCACAGCCCGTGCTCCGCAGCATTTTCCCTAGCACTCCCCTCAAGTATATCGCAAAATCTGAACCTTGTCTTCAGAGACCCACTTCTCTTTGAGGTGCTAAAGATAATTTACGAGTCAGTTAGTAAAGAAATAATTATGAAATTGAGAATGACTCCCTCCCTCAAATGAGTATATTCTCTTGTTTTTATTCAGTAAACACAGAGCTCCTTCAGAGGGCCAACCACTCTGCTAGATGCAATTTATGGTAAAGACTTTGAACATTGAACCACAGTTAAACACTAGTTGCCATAAGCCTTTCCACTCTCACTTGCTCGTGGACCTGCACTGGGTTTTCGGAGCATATCTTTAGTTCATGTGTGAGACAAATGGTTGGTTGGTTTGTTGTTTGTTTTAACATGATCCTGGCAACAGTGAAGTCTGTGTTGTCTTTTTGAGGAGAATGAAAGACTTGTACTGTTGCTCCTCACTGAGGAATCCTCTATATGAAGGGGGACCCAAAACCCCCCGGAATTTATAAGAAATAGTGTATTTATTCTTTTTTTTTTTTGAGTTGGAGTCTCACTCTGTCGCCCAGACTGGAGTGCAGTGGCCGCTCCCAGCCACCGCAGCCTCGACCTGCTGGGCTCCGGCGATCCTTCCGCCTCAGCCTTCCGAGTAGCCGGAATTACAGGCATGTGCTACCACGCCCAGCTGTTTTTTTGATTTATTGTAGAGATGAGGTCTTGCCGCCCAGGTGGGTCTCGAACCCGCGGGCTCAGGCAGTCCACTCACCTCAGCCTCCCAAAGGCGCGGGATTACAGGCTGAGCCACCGAGCCCCGCTAGTGTATTTATTCTTATGTTTTTAAATTTCAATCACCTTCAAAGTACTCTCTGGTGCAATACACCTATCAAAACAGTTTTTTCATTGCTCAAAACAGTTTTTGAACTCATCAATTCTGATGCCTTTTAGTGCTTCTGCCATTTTTTGTCTGACCTCTTCCACACCAGCAACACATTTCCCTCTGAGGACTTTTTTCAACCAGGAAAACAAAAGAAAGTTGCTGGGGGTGAATAAGGAGGGTGGGTGGGGCATGGTGTCATGCCATTTTTGGTAAAAAACAAAACCAAACTGCTGAACACTCAGTGCAGTGTGGGCAGGTGCACTTGTAAATAAATAAATGCGCAAACTCATTGAAAAAAATCTCCAAAGAAAAAAAATTCACTGAAGCCAGATGGAGCCTCTCACAATAGCACTAGCTGGTACACTGATACTGACTGGTTCCTAGAACACTACCTAGCAAGGGAAGCCTGTACTACAAGGAGTCTGCCCTGCAAAAGATAACTGGTTTTTTTGGGTCCCCCTTCAGATGTGTTTTCAGAAGGAAAGTTTTTCTTCTAGATACAAAACATTTGATTTTTAATCTTTTCACATCTTAGAATTGAAAACCAGAAGCCTTAAGCAGACTTAAAGTCATAAGTGACCTGAGAGAGTCACCTAGCTCTGCCCCTTGTTTTAAGGGGAGAAGACCAGGCCCAGACAGTTCAGGGATTTGCCTGTGCTCATACAGCCACAGTGCCACACCTGGCCATACTAGTTTCCTGGCCCTCCATCCTGATACCCTTTTCACAGTCACTCTGTGACACCAGGGCAGAGATAGATTTGCCGGTTTTGTTGGCTGACTGGGAAGAATATTTAGTTTCAGGTTTTAAAACTGTTAAGATGACTAACATCTGCTTTGGGTTTTTCTGGTATCCTTTTCATTTTTTTCTCACAGGGCTTTCAGCAATCGTGAGACCTTCTAGTATAAGACAGAGTACCAAAGGCATTTTTACTGCTGGTAAGAACTTTAGAAAAATCCATGCATAATGTACTTGCTGGACTGACTTGCTTCAGAACTCTTGGTTAAAATGTAAAGCTTAATCTGTATCTTTTAAGTACTTGCGAAATGCTGAGTTTTGATGGCCATAAACTAGGATGTTGCAGTAATGTACAAACAGGCATAACAACACCATAATCTGGTAGTCTAACAAAGTCATACTATTTGAAGTGTGTTGGAAGGCTTTACTGCCCTTCTAAATTTTCTGAATAACTTCTTGTGTGCAGTTTTTTTCCTTATATTCTTTATGTATCAAGGTTACACCTGTATAGCATTGTGAAACAACAGGACTTTGTGCTCCCCCCCATTCTTCAGAGACAACTGCTTCCAATTCTCTTAGTGGGTTATTTTTGCTTTTACTGCCATTTCTCTAAATCTTTTCAACTTTAGGTGTCAACGATTGACTTCTCACTATGGCAGGTTAGAATTTAACTCGTGCCCCCAGCCTCACCACATGTCCTTACTCTCCCATCCCTCTGTCTTCCTCATATAGTTGTTTTGTGGTTCAGGCTGATCAGTATTCAGTTTAACATTGTTATGGGTCACATAGGATACTTTGTCTTCTCTGCACAATGTTCCTCTTCCATGGAGACTGTCTTCACTGCCCCCTGTAGGGAATCCCTCATCTCCGGTATCTCCTACCTTTCGTTTTCTTGGTGTGCACTCTCATTGTGGTGAAGGACATCATCCAGTAATTTCCTGAGAAAAGATATGTGGAAGGCAAATTTGGAGACCATGTGTGTCTGAAATCTCTTTGGTCTGCCTTTACACATAATTGATACTTATGTTGGGTGTATATTAGAAATCATTTTCCTTCAGAATTTTGAAATCATTGCTGTATTTATTTTTTTACTTCTAGGATTGTTGTCTAAGTACAGAGACATTCTGATTCTTTTTTTTTTTTTTTTTTTT